GATACGCGATTTTCAGTCAATCTCTAAACAGCCCAAATTGCTGCCACAAATTATTGATGCGCAAAGTATTTAAAAACAAAGTATACAAACTTTTGGTATATTCAATTATATCTTGAATTGCTACATAAACCTGATGATTGTTTTAATGGTTCAACCGAGGGTTTCTGATTTTTTCGGCGGGGTGTTCGGAATGTTATGAGACGAAAATGCCCTATCCCCAGACCACTCGCTCCAATCAATTTCTCTCAGGTGCTTCATTGCTTCCTACCATTTAGTATATTTTGATTATTTATAACATTTATTTTATCGTTAGATGTAATCGCGTATGTTGATATTCCCCACGAGGTGATCAGACAGTCTGTCATTGACCGTCTTAATCGTCTTGGCGCAAATATTTCTGTTCTTGGACCAAAAGTGACGCATATAATATTTAAGCATGGTTCAAACGAAACCAAACTTTGGGCACAGCGCCACCGTGTTTATTTAGTCGACCCTGCTTGGATAAAGGCCTGCTTTGACCAAATGGTATGATAACAGAATTGGCTGCATTTACTTGCTATATTTTAGAAGCGTGTTTTAGAATCCTTATTTGCTGTCAAAGAGAAGGAAGACACTGATCAAATTAATTACTTCTCTGTCTTTAATCAGAATACGAACTTATGTTCAAGATCGCTTCTCACCGCATTTTCATGTCCTATTGCTCATTCAGAGAACTCTCCCAAATTGATTCCGCTTTACAATCTAGATAATCGTATATTACATAACAGCCTGGCATTCAATCTTACTCCTCCTTATGGCATAGAGGCATTTAAAAGGCTTATTGAACAGCGCGATTCCCCAATTCAAATCGACAATATTTCTTTGCTTCATTCGGATAAAGCTAATCAAAGTTCACATGTTAAATATGTAGCAAAACCAAAAATATCTCATGGTATGTATATTACGTAACATATAAGGCCTTTACATTCAAATGCCTTCAGTCGTCTATCACTTTCGCAGATCAATTGACTTCATCCCTCTTTTCAGCTCGAATTATTTATTTCTTAAGTTTTACTTTAGAATAATGACTAATCTTAGACTTTGTCTATTCTTTCATATTAATCAAAATTTAGTTGAATGTCTTTAGGTTCTGATTTAGTCCCTCTGGTGGCGACCCTATGTTTAAACTAAATGAAGCTTCACATTAGAATGATTTGGATTCGAAATGCTAGTTGTCATGATGCTGATGAGTATTTTCCCGTTAAATCCAGCTTTGTTATCCTTCTAGCGACTGGATTCTAACTTGAGCTAGGATAAATTTTCTACAGCAGAACTCGAGCTCAAGCTTTTTGGTAGTGCTTGTTTAGATATTGTCTACAGATTACACTAATTCGCAGACATCCATCTAACTAACTGCTCATATTAGGGGCTTTAAATCTCCATTTTATAATTTGAGTGTCCATATGCAGTTAAGATTTCATAAGAGTAATTAATTAATCACAAATTTTATCTACATTTAATTCGATACCAATTATTAGTTCAAACTATCCATATTTATATCTTGCGCATTTTGCTTATTTGATATTTTTTTAAGTTTCACCTTTTATATTTTATTTTCATCAATATTATGTTTTATATTCACGTTAAATATTTCGACCAATTCAAAAATTTTAATGATACACCGAGAATTAATATTTTCAGATTCATGTAAATCATCCAGATCTCTACTTAACAAAAAGTATCCTTTGGATGCAAATAATGTTTCTCATTCTTCATCAGATGGTCTAGCAAGACCGAACCATAATCCTTCCCTTCATGCTTTCTCGAGAACTATTTTGTTTCAACCCGAAACTCCGTCTCATATTTTAGACACCAAAATACCAAAATTGAAAAGCTATAATTGTTTGTCAAGATTGCCTCTAACTCCAGAATTACTTGTATCAGTTGCCGAGTATGCACACATTGGGACTCCTAAGAATCGTGGATTTCGAAAGCACTCCTCAAAAGGATTATTCTCCTCAAAAAGCAAATCCGCTATCCCTAAAAAGAATAAAACGCTTCAAAATTCGTGCTCTGTTAAATCGATAAATAATTCAAAGAAAAACATCTGCGGATGCATGTCAAATGCTGATTGCTGCGTCTCTTTGGAAGAGCCTCCAACCTTCAGTTCAAATCGATCTATCTATTCAACACGCTCGAAAACTACTCAAGCTAGAATCGAGGGTATTTTTCAAAATAACTAATCAATTTATTTATGCCCAGGTTCTGTAAAAGCTAGGGGCTGTCTTTTAGTAGCTGAAAAGGACAGCCATACTAATAATGACAGTCTATGTACAAGTTCTTGGTCTGGAGTCGCACAAAAAAAAGCGTTGGCTCATAGTCGCAATAAGTTTTCTCAGAAGAACATTGCTTTACTTTCGAGTTCCCTTTCTGCAAGCCTGGCTCTTGATTCATCTAAAGGTGTCGAATCATCTAGTGGATCAACCCAAAATAATATTGAGTACTGTTCGAACTTCTTAGGCTCTACATCTTCTGGGTCAGAGTTTCAGGTAGGTTTTCGAATTTACTGCCGCTGTTGTTACTTATATTCTTTGTAAAATTTAATCTGGCAATATCTGATTTGGGATTATTTTGTGAGTAAGTCTTTAGGGTTACATTTTTGGTCACAATTATAGACTCCTAAATTTAGAGGATTGCATGCCCGAATCTTCGCTCACCTCTACTTGCATTCATGAAACTCTTCCTAATATTCCATTCCAAGTTGATTTCTTGAATCCCTTTTAAATCAAATATCGGGTCCACATTTCAACAAATTTTTAAGATTGTTGCCTGGAAATTTCTACGGAAACTTTTTTTATCCAATAATGTTTTTTTTCTTGATCCATGTGAATGATGCCCGAGGGTGGCTGACATTATATTTTTGCTGGACACTAACCATTTAGTGAAAATCGTAGTCTATTTATTTTTATGCGACTATTATGTCACTACTTAGAACTCATTAAGAGGCCGTATCTTGTGGACTTTTAGATTATTAGTATCGGATTTTTAATTTTTTTGGTTTATCTGATAAAATGGCTTAGTTGGGATAATTGTTTATTAAAAAAATTTAGAGCGGCTTTTCGAATTTATAATAGCTCATTTGAGGTTATCATCTTTTATTGCAATTTAAGATTACATATTTTAATCGAAGGTATGAAGACCAAGATGGTGTGGCCTTTTGTGTGGTCGCGGTCTCCTTTCGTTGTATAGAGGTTGTTTGACCTTGTTTTCGCAACATGGTCATATTGGTACGAAGACTTAGAGGAACACACCTAGTCCGGAGTCCATTGTCTGCATGATCATTTCCAAAGTTGAACCCTGGACGTCGATTACATATATTATCATAATATAGAGGGTAAATTTTAAGGTTCCCAGTTCCTTTATTGTATTCCACCTTAGAATAATTTTTATTTTTATACTATGTTTTGATGCATTTACTAATGTTTTGTTTAATTCCATTTATCTACTCTTTATAGACTTTGTGCAAACGAAATAGTCTAGAACACTTTTATTCAGTAACCTCGATGTTGAACCTAAGTAAAAAAAAACGAGGTAATTTATTATTATTATT